ACCACTCCTGTTCAACATAGTACTGAAAGTCCTAGCTATCCTAAGACAAGAGAAAGAAATGAAAGGCTTATGGATCAGAAAAGGAGGCAGGCTATTACTATTATTAACTATTATTTGCTGGTGATGCAATGACATAAAACTTACCCATAAATATTCATGTCAATTTTGTTTATAAAACAATCAAAAAGTAAAGACAATTAATATGTCTTTAAAAAAAGTAAATAGTTAAATCCACTGTGGTTCAACCATACTATGAAATACTACTCAGCAATAAAAAGGAACAAACCATTTATACATACATATTTATACATACTAGGATGGATCTCAAGGGCACTCTGCTGAGTTTAAAAAAAAAAAAATCCTATCTCAAAAGGCCAACCACTGGAGGGTATTAGTTTCTGAGGTTTAGAAGGGAAATTTATGGTATTCTCCAATGACAAGATTATAAAGAATGGATTAGTGACTGTCAGGGGTTAGAGAAGGTGGAGGAAGAAGAGTGAGTGTGACAATAAGAGGCTATGTGTTGGATGTGCTTGTGGAGTAATTATGAATCTTATGACAGCTACACAAATATTCATGTGCTAAAATGGTACAGAACTATTACATACATTGCACCAGAATCAATTTCCTGACTTCGATCGCTCTACATGGCTACATAAGGGTACACAGTACTATTTTTGTGACTTCTTATGAATATAGAATTATCTCCAAAAGTTTTTAAAATTAAATGTAGACATTTGTGATGAACATTTTTTAAGCCCTCCTTACCTAATCAGACTCAACGGAAAGGAATATTTTCTTGAGGACATGTAATTATGAACACAGAAGTCTGAACCTAATGGTAACATATAAATGCTCGGTTGTCTGCTCCTACTCTGTGGTCAGGGTCAACCAACTGTGATAGGCTCTATCCACAGCAGCAAAAGGCTAATAGCCCTGGCCAAGTTTCTAGCAGCATGCACACTGGGAGGGGTGACACCCACGCCCATACTTCTTAGGGAAGCACTTCTTGGAGGCAGGATGATGTAGGAGTTAGAAGTGTGGCTCTTGAGCCATATAGCCTGGTCACAACATCTGTGTGCCTTTAACTGCTGTATGTCCTTATGTTTCTCATAGATTCATTGTAAGGAATGCTTTGGAGGACCTGGAAGACTGGTGGCAAGAATTTCTTGGAAAGTACTCCAAATTCCACAAAACTCAAAGACATGGATCTATCAGATTTTAGCATCTCCCGTAGAACCATCACTGCACTAAGCTGAACATTTTTTTCAAATTTCTTGCTCAACAAACTCACTTGAGTTACATTCTTCAGATGTGGACTGAGATTACATGGAGATGCCCAAGTTCTGCCCCTTTATCCTACCTAGACACCTTAGAACACAGCTTCCCTGCCTCCATCTCTGTCAGGTTTAGAGCTTCACAGAGCAAACCTACCTAATCAAACTGAGGTCACACCTTTATTGTGCATCTCAATTGCAAACACCCATGTTTGAGTAGAGTCTCTCCCCAGTGCCACACACAGTTGTGCTATAGTGGTGGCCATAGAAGGGATGATTTTTAATATTTCACATGAAAATCTTCTTTTAAGAATTGAGAGCCAGAAACAATCACTCTTCCACACCATGAATGGCCATGCTTCCTTCTCTCAGAACTTGTAGGCTTATTTTTCTATGGACTTCTTTGTGATGAAAACCAGTATCACTCCTATAAACATTAGTCTCCTAATTTCTATTTTCATTTTAACATCTTGACTGATTGCACAACTCTTAATCTAAGGCGACTATAATTCCCTAAACTGGAGAAATCTAGCAACTACAGAAGACAAGGAAAATCCTCTTAGCACTAGCATTCTGGAAACAATAATATGTTTATTTGTATCATGTTTTTTTCTATTATTTCTTTTAATGATAAATAAAATATCATTAAAAATTTTTAGATAAGCAGAATCATGACCCCACTGTAACATGATTTATATACTCATTTTGTATATTCTCCTCAGTCATTATCCATTTATATAAATATTTATTTAAATAATCATGAACAAATTTTAAATACCAATGTAAAGATCTACTTGATATCATAAGTGTAAATGTTACATTTAAATTTATCTCATGGCTTTCCAATCATGATTTTTAAATGGCTTGTATTCCAGCAAGTTGGAGGTATCAAATTTACAATACTTTTTTTGTGTGTGTCAGCAGAGTAGCTTTAAAACTTAGAGTGCATAATTCCCATTTCTAGTTTACATCCTAAGGGATTCCATTTAATACAATGTATGCCTCTGTTTGAAAAGTTGCCATTCCAAGCCTATGATTTTGCTTCTCTGGTAACTGAAGGAAAAAAATAAGAAAAAACAAATTGCCCCTAAACTACTTTACAATAGAAGCATAATTTATCTGTGCACCGCACCCTCTTCTAAGACTCCCACCAAGGAATATGTCATAGCCAGGGGATGATGCAGTAGTTAGCATCCAAATGTGGGTTGAGAGCATATCCCTGTGGCAGCCTGTCAGCCACACACTACCTGTAAATAAATCCCTGCTGCCTCAAGCCTGAGCCAGGGAGTACAGTCTCATTCTTCTAAGGTCTTTCTTCATTCCCCTTAAAAACCTTTCATGTTTCCTCTTTTAAGGGTTACCTTCTGACACTTTAAGAGTCCTTTCTATTTTCATCAGCACTTTTTTTCATTTATTTGATCACCTTTCACATCTTTTCTTATTTCCTTCATATTTTTCTTTCCTCCCCACTTTGTTCTCAACCGCTCTATTTTGAAAGTCCACTGCACTTCTATTCTTCACACCATTTTTAATTATTTGACATTTCTTTCACCTTCAAGACTCTAAAATACACTCATTCTCATTATATTTCTTCTAATTATTCCAAGTTTTTCTGCTTTTTCTTTTCCTGGAGGCACTGAAGTATAGCAGCTCGTAGTACTGATGCCAGTTGCTAGGGTTCAAACCCAGCTCTGGGCTACATACCAGATATAGGAGCCTGGATATGTTACCTAACCTTTCCACACCTCAGCTCCTATTAGTATGTTCTAAAATTTGTACCTACAGTTTTATCTAATCAGTTTTGGTAAGATATACAGGCACAGAAATGAAGGAAGAAGTCTGTATTCTTCTAGGACTAGGAAGCAAGATACAGCATGCAAAGTCATAGAGGAAAGCACCAAGGACAGTCAGGAGACAAAAGGAGAAAGCCTGGGCCAGAGTATTTCTTATGTTTTCTGCAAGAAAAGCAAAGCAGGACAGGGTAAACAGCTCAGCGTAATTGGCAAGTATGAATAATTCTGGTGGGCTTTGAGGCATAGAGACTGTCCCTAGTTGTCTGGTCACTGACCCTGGGTTGATTTAGGGCAGGTAAAATACTGGCTTGGTGTGTGAAAGTCTGATACAAGAGATGGTTGGGGTGAGGGTCCTGGCTTGATTAATTGGTATAAAAGTTGCTCCTTTGCTATCTCTAAGGTTTGGCTAGCCCTGGGAGGGACATGTAAGATGCCTAGGCTGGAGTATCTGAGAGATTAGATAGATAGATAGATACATAGATAGAGGTAGGTAGGTAGATAGATATAGATATATAAAATCACAATATCTCAGAAGGAAAAATATGGTCTCATAGTCACTATGTTTGTATTTGAATAAACTAATGGTTTTTTAGTCATAATTTTCCATTCCAAATTCTTTAAAAAGGACATTTAATTGTCCCTGAACAATCCAAGCTGGTTTGGGCTAATGGAGCAGATAACGTTGTAGAAAAAAATAGTACTCCTAAGAACCACCACTGTGGATCAGGCTGTGGGAAAATATTTAAAGTAGAGAAGTCATCACTACTGGGCTTCATAGAAGGACACTGTCTTACTCAGTTCAGGATGCTATAACAAAGTACCATAAATCAGTTGGCAGATAGACAACAGAAATTTATTTCTCACTATTCCTGAGGCCAGAATTCTAAGATTGGGGTGGCAGCATGCAAGATTCTGGTAAGGATTCTCTTTTAAATTACATACTACTGATTTCTTGCATCTTCACATAGCAGAAAGAGATCAAATAGACCTCCAAGGATTTTTTTAAAATGACACTAATCCCATTAATTAGAACTCCTTATGACATAATTGTCTCCCAAAATTTTTTTTCTTTTCTTTTTTTTTCTTTTTATGAGAGAGAGAGAGCCGGGGGGATGGTCTCACTAAATTGCTCAGGGCCTTGCTGACTTGCTGATGCTGGCTTTGAACTTGCAATCCTCCTGCCTCAGCCTCCCAAATCACTGGGATTACAGGCATGCACCACCACACCTGGCCCTCAATATATGAATTTTTGAATTTTTGAGGGACACAATATTCATTCAATGACATCCTATGTATAAAATACTGAAAAGAGTTGTCAAATTCTTGACAGATATGTAATTATAGAAATTTGCATCCCAGGGACAGGAACTGACTGTAAGAGCCTTATCCAACAATGCCTACTTAGCAAAGATCTCTATGGAAACATCTGTTTGAATCATTCTTTCAGTGATTCCCTCCTGTTAGAAAGGTAAATTCACAAAAGCGGAAACCTAGAAGCTGGGTTGGCACTGAGAGATTGGTGCTGCTAACCAGATTCCGTGTAAATGTGGCAAACAGATTCTCTACCCTAGTAATTTGGAACAACTAAACAGGTGCCACCTAGAAAACTAAATCTGCCCAATGTAATTATGTTAATTAACATTTCCTAGAGATTCCTTGCAAGGTCCATCTAGGCCTGCCCCCAGTCCTATACTTCTAATTCAAAAGTTGTGTTCATCTAAACAATGAACATCACTAAAAAGTGAGTTTAGATAGGGATACCTACAGCTGAGTGGATCTGGCCCAAGGGAAATACCAAAGTGGAGGACAGACTGCAGTTTGTTTCAATCAGAGCCAGATGGGCTGTGGGTGGAAATCCTTCCAACTGCTACAGACTTCAGCCAAAGCTTTAAATTCAGAGTGAACTGGATATGGGCTAGTGCCATGTAAAATGGAGATTGAGTTGCCTGATGTGCCCTTGGTGAAAATCTTCTCCTATCTGGATGCCTTGAGCTTGCTACAGGCTTCGCAAGTGAGCAAGGTAAAGGCTCCAGTCTCTCTACTGCTTTGACAGAATTGACCAGCTTCCTGCCCACACTCCTCTACCTTGTCAGACCCCTTCCACCTCTCAGCCTCAGCCATGGATCTTGGCTACCCCAGCATTACACCCACACAGCCTTCCTTCATTCCTTAAGTTTACTTTGTTCAGATCCACCCACTTAGCTCTGATACCAGTATCCCTAGAATCCATTCACTTCTCTTAACCAGTTGTGCATCAGTTTGCAGAATAGCAAAATACTTTGAGGGTTTGGGGGTAGTCCTCATTCACTGAGTGCCTCACATTCTGTTAAATGGAAAGGATAAGCTGATACACAGGACTTATTTTGACTAAATGATCCTTGAGGTTCCTATTTCAAGTCCTAGAAAATCACTTCTTCCTCGGAACTCTCACAGGAATATGGAGTGCCTGGATTAGCAATGATAGGTCTCTGCTGTTCCTACTTCCCTCTCTCCAGACTGGGAAGGCATTGAGAGCTGGGATTGTGTCAGATTAATCTTTGTGGGTCCAGGCCCGAGAATAAATGCAAGCAGAAGAGAAGCCAATGTTTGTGTATTGATTGCTTATCCATTGCCTTCTCTCTCATATTGGAATAAGGTTGCAGAAAGTGATTTGCTATGGAGGTGAGTAAGAAAACGGGGAGAGTAAGGTGGGAAGGAAAGAGGAGGCCATCTAATTGTGTGTTTGCGCTGTGTACTTTGGTCTGTGTGCATCTGTGTTGTGGGAGGCCCATAGAAAGGTTAGCATGAATATAGGGCTCATATGACAACAGTGGCTCTGAGGAGATGAGCTGAGGGTCACCTGATAGGATTATGACTCCTGTTTCCAGGAGGATGTGTCTAAAGAAATGGCACTTCTGCAACTTCACCTATGAGCACCTGGGCACACAGACATGGAAGCAGTTATTCCTCCACCAAACAAAGCAGGAGCATCGGATGGCATGTGCACAGCCAGAAGACTTCATCTACAAAGAAGCAGCTGGGAACCTTGGTATGCCTTGGAGAAGCATGATAAACTTGTTTTCAGAGGTCTACTCTATTTTTCCCCATATGCAGTTTTGTGTACTCATTCAGTGAAAGGGAAAGGGATTAAAATTTAGTGTGCCTGGGTTGCTGTGATAGCCACATCACCAGTGTTCCTGCTTCCTGTGTCTGAACAGAATGAAGGAACCAGAGTGATTGTTTCACAACATAAAATAGGGCTCTACTACTCTCTTTTTCCAAAAGTTTCTACCTGTCCTAGAAAAAATATTTGGGGGGGGCGGAATTAATGGATAAACTCCTAAATAGCAAAGGCTCTACTGTTCATTTTATCCCTGATACCTCTGTTAATACTTGTAACAGTTCTCTGAAGAGTTTTTTAAAGAGCATTATAGTTGTACATGGTAGTTGGGTTCATTCTGACAAAACCATATATACAAAGAATTTTATTTTAATCCCCATTCCCCCATCTCTTCTCTTTCTCCCTCCCTCCCCCTATTCTCCTTCCTCTACTCATCTTCCTTTTGTTCATTTATTTATTTGGTTGGTTTTTGGTACTGGGGATTAAACTCAGGGGCATTCAATCACTGAGCCACATCCCCAGCCCTATTTTGTATTTTATTTAGAGACAGGGTCTCACCGAGTTGCTTAGCACCTCACAGTTGCTGAGGCTGGCTTTGAACTCACAATCCTCCTCTCTCAGCCTCCCAAGCCACTGGGATTACAGGCATGTGCTACCACATCCAGCTCATTTATTTTTGATTGGTACTTTCTATATATTCATAAAGGTGAAATTCCCTTTGGTACTTTTATATATGCCTATAACATGATTTTTCAAATTTATTATATATTTTCATGGAGAGATTCTAATATCCATGAATCTATGGATTAATTCTAATACCCATTAATCTATGGAAACAGATTAAAGAGAAAAAGTAAGTTTTCCAATATCTCCTAATCACCAATTACCAATCTATAACAGGACCCCATATTTGACTGACTCTAAAGCCCAGTTTCTGTCTTTTCCATAATTGCTACCCAGAAAAGCCCTGGAAGGGTGCATCGTCCCTGTGGTCCCTTCCCCCTCCCTCTCTCTCTCTGCTTCCTCACTTTACAGAGAGTTGTTTAGCTTTTCTCCACTGGGCCCTTCCCCCATGATGTGCTGCCTCACTTTGGGCCCAGAGCCATGAGTTGGCTGCCTGTGGACTGAGACTTCTAAAACCATGAGTCCCACATAAACTTTTCTTCTTCTAAGTTGTTGTCAGGTATTTTGGTCACAATGATGAAAAAGCTAACTAGCCGGATGTGGTGGCACATGCCTATAATCTCAGAGGCTTGGGGGCTGAGGCAGGAGGATCACAAGTTCAAAGCCAGCCTCAGCAATTTAGCAAGGCCCTAAGCAACTTAGCGAGACCCTGTCACTAAATAAAAAAAATTTTAAAAGCCTGGAATGTGGCTCAGTGGTTAAGCAACCCTGTAATCAATCCCCACACACCACACAAAGAAAGAAAGAAAGAAAGAAAGAAAGAAAGAAAGAAAGAAAGAAAGAAAGAAAGAAAGAAAGAAAAGGAATGCTAACTAAAACAGAATGCATTGTGATATATTCATACATGTGCATAGCATAATGTGGTCAATTTCATATGCCAGTTTCTCCCCTTTTCCTCCTCTCCTCCCTCACCCTTTCTCCCCTGTTTCTATTTTACTGCTCTCCCCTGTTTTCATGAAATATTCTTTCTTATTTCTTTTTTTCCTCTTTAGCTTCCACATATGAGAGAAAAAGTTCCACCCTTGATTTGGAGCCTGGCTTATTTCACATAACATTATGTTTTCCAGTTCCATTCATTTACCAGCAAATGACATAATTTCATTCTTTATGGTTGAGTAGAACTCCATTTGTGTGTGTGTGTGTGTGTTTGTGTGTTTGTATGTGTATGTTTATCCATTAATTGTGTGTGTATGTGTGTGTGTGTGTGTGTGTATCCCTTCATCTGCTGATGGACACCTGGGTTGGTTCGATAACTTGGCTATTGTGCCTTGTGCTGCTATAAACATTGATGTGCATATATCACTATAGTATGCTGATTTTTAGTTCTTTTGGATAAATGCCAAGGAGTGAGATAGCTGGTTGTTCCATTCCTCGTCTCTATTCAGCTTTCCAAAGTGATTGCACCAACAATGCATAAAAGTATCTTTTTCCAGCCAAGTACCGTGGGGCACACCTATATTCCCAGCAGCTCAGAAGGCTGAGGTAGGAGGATCACAAGTTCAAAGCCAGCCTCAGCAAAAGCAAGGAACTAAGCAACTCAGTGAGACCCTATCTCAAAATAAAATACAATATAGGGCTGGAGATGTGGCTCAGGGTTTGAATGCCCCTAAGTTCAATCCTTAATACTCACCCGCCAAAAAGTATCTTTTTCCATGGATGAGAGGGTAATATGGTATGATATCCATCACCACATTGATTGCCAGGGTTGATTTGACTGATCTGGCTGGCTAAGCAGGTGTTCCCTTCCTTTCCCCAACACTTGTTTTTATCACATTTTTCAAGAATCAGTTGGCTGTAAATGCATGGAATTATCTGGGTTCTCTATTCTGTTCCCTTGGTGTATGTATCTGTTTTTATGCCAATACTTGGGTTTTTTTATTGTTTGGTTTGGGTTGGGTTGGGTTTTATTTGGTTTGATTTTGTTATTGTTGTTTTGGTACTATGGCTCTGTAGTATGTCTTGAAATCAGGTATTGTGTGATCTCCAGCAGTTCTCTTTTCACACAAGATTGCTTTGACTATTGTGGGTCTTTTATTCTTCCAGATGAATTTTAGTATTGTATTTTCGGGTTCTGTGAAGAATGTCATTGGTATTTTGATGGGAAGCATTGAATCTGTAGATTACTTTGGTTTAGTATAGGCACTTTAGCAATAATAATTCTTCCAAACCATGAAGTTTTTCCATCTTTTAATGTCTTCATCTTCAATTTGTTTCTTCCATGTCTTAAAATTTTTCGTGCCTGGCTATTGTGAATGGGATTGCTTTCATGATTTCTTTCTCAGCAAATTGATATATATTGGTATATGGACAAGCTACTGATTTCTATGTTGATTTTGTATCCTCCTACTTTACTGAATTTATCAGTTGTAATGGTCTTTTGGTGGAGTCTTCAGGTGTGTATTTGTGTAGAATCGTATCATCCACAATTAGGGATAATTTGACTTCCTCCTTTCCTATTTATATGTCTTTTATTTCTTTCTCTTGCCTAATTGCTCTAAAATTTCTAGTACTATGTTAAATAAGAATACTAAGAGTGGACACCCTTGTCTTATTCCTTAAATAAACAAGTTTTACCCCATTCAGTATAATGTTGGCTATAAGCTTGTCATATATAGTGCTTACTATGTTGAAGTATGATTCTTCTCTACCTAATATGTTCAAGGATTTTTATCATGAAAAGATATCAAATTTTATTGAATGCTTTTTTTCTGCATCTATTTAGGTGATCATATGATTTTCATCCTTGATTCTGTTTGTGATGTCTATTAATTTTCATATGTTGAACCATGCTTGATTCATATTAGTTTTCATGAAACCAATTTGACCATGATCTATGATATTTTTGATGTCCTGTTGAGTTTGATTTGCTAGTATTTTGCTGAATATTTTTTCATCTATGTTCATCAAGTATATGTTCTCACAGTTTGAGAAGCATTGTGTTAAATGTTTGGTAAGCCAGGCTCAGTGATGCTCATCTATATTCCCAGTGACTCAGGAAGCCAAGGCAGGAGGATCACAAGTTCAAAGCCAGCTTCAGTAACTTAGTGAAGGCCTAAGTAATTTATATAGCCCTTATTATGTTGAAGTATGCAAGACCCTGTCTCAAATTTTAAAAAATAAAATAAAAAAGGCTGGGGATATGGCTCTGTGTTTAAGCACACCTGTATTCAGTCCCTGGTAGAAAGAAAGAAAGGAAGGAAGGAAGGAAGGAAGGAAGGAAGGAAGGAAGGAAGGAAGGAAAAGTTAGTTGAATAAGAGGCTAGAGTTGTAGTTCAGCGATAGAGCATTTGCCTAGAATGCACAGGGTCCTAGGTTCAATCCTCAACCCTACCAAAAAAAAAAAAGTTTAGTAAAATTCAATACTGATGCCTTCTGGTCTGGATTTTTCTTTGCTGGAAAACTATACTACTGATTCAATTTCATTTATTGTCATTGGTCTATTCAGGTTTTTTATAGCTTCTTACTTCAATTTTGGTAAGCCATATAGGTCCATAAATTTGTTTATTTCCTTTAGATTTTCCAATTTTTAGCAGCTTTTCAAAATAATTCCTAATAATCTTTTAAAAGTCCAAATGTCTATAGTATCAGTTGTAATATCTCCTTTTATCTCTAATTTTATTTACTTGGGTCTTCTTATATGATCTCTATCTCTCTAAGATTTGACAAATTTATCTTTTCAAAGAACCAACTCTCTTTCATTGATCCTTTGTATTGTTTTTAGGACTCTATTTCATTTATTTCTACTCCGATCTTTATTATTTCTTTCCTTCTAATTTTGAGTATGTTTTATTCTTGCTTTTCTAAGATCTTGAGATGCATAATTATGTTTACATTTTTATTTTAAATCTTCCTCTTTTTTAATTTAAGTACTCAGTGCTATAAACTTTCCTCTTAGTACTGCTTTTGCTGTAAGACAGGTTTCTGTATATTGTTTCCATTTTCATTTTTTTCAAGGAATTTTTTTAACTTCCCTTCTGACTTCCTCAATGACCGCTATTTGTTCAAAAGTGTGTTGTTCAGCCTCCATGTATTTGTATAATTTCTAAAGTTTTCCTTGCTGTTGATCTCTAGTTTTATTCCATTATAATCAGAAAAGATACAAGATATGATTTCAAATTTTTTAATTTGACTTGTGGCTGACTACAGAAATTTCCATGTGCTGACAAAAAATATATTATTCCACAGCTGTTGGATGGAATGTTTTCTAAATGTCTGTTAAGTCTATTTGATCTATATTTAGTTTAATTCGGATGTTTCTTTGTTGATTTGGTGGCCGGAGGTAGGATCTGAATGATCTATCCATTGATGAGAGTGGGATATTGAAATCCCCTACTATTATTGTATTGAAGCCTATCTCTTCCTTTTGGTTTATTAGTGTTTGTCTTATAAAACTGGCTGCTTCATTATTAGGCATGTAGAGATTAATAATCATCATATCTTCTTAATTAACTCAGTAATCATTATATAGTGACCTTCGTGGTCCCTTCTTATTGTTTTTGTTTTAAAGTCTTATCAGATACAAATATAGCTATTTCTACTTATTATCACATTCCATTTTCTTGGAATATCATTTTCCATCCTTTCATTTTCAGCCTGTGTGTGTCCTTATTGAGAGATGAGTTATATGTATGCAACATATCATTTGGTATTGTTTTTAGTGCATTCAACCAGACTATAACTTTTAACTGGAAAATTAAGACAGTTTACATTCAGAATTATTATTGAAAGGTATGGACTCATGCCTGTCATTTTGTTGATTTTCTTCTGGTTGCTGAATATTCTGTTTCTTCTTTCTTTAATCACCTTTGTGGTTTGATTTATGTTCTGACAATATTTGATTCTTTTCTGTTTACTATTTGTGTATCTACCCTTCTAGTGGTATTTATATTTTCACTTGCTATCATGATGCTAGTTCTCTTTCTTCCACTTCTGGGTATAGGACTTCCTTAAGCATTTTTTGTAAAGTTGGTCTAGTGGTTAATTTTCTTTAGTTTTGCTTATCTTGTAAGGTCTACTTCTGCTTCAATTCTGAAGGATAGCCTTGCTGAGCATGGTAATTTTGATTGGCAGTTATTTTCTTTCAGGATTTGAAATATATCACTCCATGGCCTCCTCCTGGAATACATCATTCCCTGCCTTCCTCCTCAGTTTCTACTGATAAATCTGCTCTTAGTCTAATGAGGTTGCCCTTAAAAGTGAAGTGGCACTTTTCTCTTGAAAATTTTAAAATTCTTTCTTTGTCCTGTAATTTTGACAGTTTGACTATAATATGTCATGGTGAGGAGCATGTCTACTTGAAGTTGTATAGACATCACATGCCTCAGTGTCCATGTATTTCCCAAGATTAGGGAAGTTTTCTGATATTGTTTAATTGAAGAGGTTTTCTGTGCCCTTAACTTTTTTTCTTCCCCTTTGAGGAGAAAATGCTGAGATAAACATTTGATCTTTTAATGGTGTCCCAATGATCTTGGATGCTCTCTTCATTCTTATTTCTGATTTATTTCTTTTTTAAAAAAATACTTATTATTTTTAGTTGTAGTTGGACACAATCTCTTTTATTTTTACATGGTGCTGAGGATCGAATCCAGGGCCTCACACATACTAGGCAAGTGCTCTACCGCTGAGCCACAAACCCAGCCACTCTGCTTTATTTCTGAATGTAATATTTCAAAAGACCTGTCTTCAAATTCCAATGTCATTTCTTCCACTTCTAATCTATAGTTGAAGCTTTCAACTGAATTTTTTCTCCATTTCCAATATTTCTAACTAACTGGGTCTTTTTAACCAAAAAAAAAATCTCTCAATCTCTCTCTCTCTCTCTCTCTCTCTCTCTCCCCACACCGCCCTCCTGATTTTCTTAATCACATCCTGCATTATCTCCCTAATTTTGTTTCACTTGTTGTCTGTTTTCTGTTGTAACTTATTCAGCTTTCTTAAAATTAATCTTTTGAATTCTTTTTTTTTTTTGAAGCACCAAAAACTAATTTATTTAAGAACTTTGACCAGGTTATGGAACAATAATAATGGATAATCACAAACTGGGTGACCTGGGAATAGGAATGGAGATAGGATCCTTAAGAGATGGGAAGGAGGAGAAAGATCATCAGAAAAGAAGAGGAGATAGACTCCCTGTAAGCTTGAGGGTGTAATTCTTGACACATTCTGCCCTTGACTCCAGAGGCTGCCTGCTGTTTATCTGTTTTCACAGGTTAGAGTTACCTGTTATTTGCTATTCTCTCTACAGCTCTCCAGAGACCCAACCACAGCAGGCGCAGGGAGAGAAACATTCTCCAGTCCAGAGGTAGCATCAGTAATTTTACCTTCAGACTGAAGCTCAGTATAAAAAAAAAAATAAATAAATAAATAAATAAGGCTACAAAGCTTAGATTCCAAATGTTGACTCATCATTAAATCTTTTAAAAGAATTTTCATGGCTCTTTTTTTCCTAGAATCAGAGAAACACTCCATTTTATACTATAAACTTTTACCAACACAAAGTGCACACTAGTGCGTAGGTGCGGTAGTGCAGGCTCCCATCCCGCTGCCCCGGTTCATGCCTGCATTCTATAAACCTGTAGGAATCCCACCTAACAGCTTTTCTCAGCAGTGTGAGTTGTTAATATGTTATGTAGCATCCTCCCTTGATGACAAATGGGAATTGATGGATAAATAGCCCTGGCAGGGGAACTCTGAGGTGTCAGCTATGGTGCTGTAATAAGCACATTTTCTAGTTTCTGTATTCGGTGCTTAGATGCTTAGACCTAGGAGTCTTTGCTGACTCCAGAAAAACCGTCCCTCCCAGGGCTACCCAGTTCCTAGTGATAGGAGAGGACTTAACCTGCAGATGCACTTGTCATATGCAAACCAACCCATCCAGAACCCATGCCTTGGTCACCACCTTTAGATGATCTCACTGGCTCCCACTCTAGGCCATTATCCACCTGCCCAAATCACCCCAAGGCCAAGTACCAGATGACTGAGCCCTCTTGCCTTAGGATCTGCCCAAATTATCCAAACTAGCCCACTACCAGCCTGCTCCTTCCCTGCCCATTACTTCCCTCAGAAACCACAAGAAAGTCTTTCGCCCATGTTTTCTCCTGATTCCTTGGCCTCCTGACCAACCTGGTGCTTCCCTAGGTGGCCTCTCCGGGGTGGGACCTATCCCCTCCTCTTGAGATCTGCAGGTGTAACAAGTTACCTTTTCATCATCTCCTGATCTTCCAGCCTTGTCAGACCTGAATAATAACTAAACCTACGTTTTAAAGCAACCATCTCCCACACTTCTCCAATGAGTTTGAGCCCCAGGTATCCAAAACACTCATCTGCTCCACAGCTTTTGAATTCTTTATCAGGAATCTAGCCACTTAACTATCTTTGGAATAGTTACTAAAGAGTAACAATCTTTAAGAGGTGTCATATTGCCTTGCTTTTTCATATTTCTTGTGCTCCTACATTGAGATTTGCACATCTGGTGAAATGGATACTTCTATCATTTTTATGGGATGGCCTTCTTATTATGCAGCTTTCTCCTCAAGATGAATATTCCAGAATCTGTTTGTTATGCTGAATTTATCTCCAGCTGGGTACTATAATGTAATTTCCTTGTAGCTTCTTGGGCTATGATAGGTCAATTTGGGTACAGTGTACTGTATCAGAGTCAGACACTGTCTCTGTGGGTCATGCATGAGTGGGGACTCAGTAGCAGTTCAGGAAGATATTGTGTAGGTAGCAGAGTGTGTGGGGTGAAAGCTGTGTAATTACTCTGACAATGGAGTGACAGCCCCTATCAGGTGGAGGGAGTTTTCTCAGGCACTGATCATAATTCTGTTACTTGAATGGGTCTCTGGTATTCCATTAGTGAGAAGGGGCCTGAAGCACTTGTTATCTAATGAGATACTGGTGTGAGGCCAGGTGCTTCATGGGTAGAGGCAGGAAAGGAATCCCTGTACCCTTCTGTGCAGTCACACCCAGGCTTCCCAGCACCATATGTCAGACCAGGTATGGGGGCAACAGATGCAGCATGCCTGCACAGGTAAAGTCGGGGCAACTGAGCAGGTTACCTGCATAAGTGCAGTGAGAGCAAATGTTTTGTGATTCCTCTGTACTGCTACTATAAGCAGAACCTACCAAGAGCAAAACCTTAGACACCCCCCACAGCTGTGCATACTTAAGGATAGGGCAACAGCCAGGGGCATTTCTCCCCCTGATTCAGTTGTAGTATCCACCAGGGATCAAGCAGGAGTGGATCATGGCTGGAGTTGGGTAAAATTCCTCTCATCTGGGGTGCTTGAAGGATAAAAGGAGAGCAGAACACACTGGGCTTGGTGGCACACGCCAGTAATCCCAGCAGCTCAGAAGGCTGAGGCAGGAGGATCAAGAATTCAAAGCCAGCCTCAGCAAAAAGCAAGGCCCTAAGCAACTCAGTGAGACCCTGTCTCTAAATAAAATACAAAATAGGGCTGGGGAATGTGGTTCAGTGGCCAAGTGCTCCTGAATTCAATCCCCAGTACCGAGAGAGACAGAGAGAGAGAGAGAGAGAGAGAGAGAGAGAGAGAGAGAGAGAGAGAGAGAGAGCGCAATACAAGGTCAGCATAGAGCAAAGACTCTTTTCAGACCTTCTTTGGTGTGCATCTTGGAGCATGACTACATTTGGAGCTGCAGTAATGTTGTTTAAAACGGCCCCAACACCCCTCTGTGGGTAGGGGAGCAATAGACTCTCAGAGCTGTTTATCCACCTTGTTATTTGGTAGGCACCCTTGCATGGTTCTGGGAGAAGGGTGGCAGGAACTATGCAGGCAACTTCCTTCAGTCCTGGCAAACATGTGAAACCGCAGAGGCCAAGTTCCTGGCCTCAGAGGGCACACTCCCCATCCCCCAATTCTTATAGAGGGCACCTCCTGTTCCCCTCCACATCATAACACCCATTCCCCACTGAGGAGTGCTCTCAGCAATTTGTGTCAGCCACTCCACCAAGCCAAGTCTAGTTCATGAGGCAGTCACCCCCTGAGACAATGCAGTGGAATGTCTGTGGGATCCTAGAAATGAGAATATTGCAGCAGTTTCTGACTCCTAAAGCAGTCCAAATTCAGACACTAGGTCCCTTCTCAAGATGGCTTCTATCTGCAGCATTCTTGGTTCACTGGGATATAAAGTGAATTCCTTTTCCAAAGCCAGACTACTGTAAAGATCTCAGTACAATTGTATATTTAGGCTGTAAGACTGCCAGGGCCATGAAACTTTGCCAATATCTGAACTGATAGAGTTTGCTGGAACTTTTTTACCTTCATTCCTTCAGAGGGGAGATTAACCCTCCTCCAGACCAGAATGTCAAGTAAGGAGATATTTTCTCTTGCTATACTGCCATCTCAGGTCTCTGGACTTAACAAGGTTTCCATCTTTCTACTGTTGAATTCCAGTGTTCCCCTGTCGCCTCAGTCTTCACATATACACCTGTTGCTTTAGTTCTTCCTTGTGAAAAAGCAAATGAATGCTGGGTACCTCTATTCAGCCATCTTCCCCCCACCCCCAACCACCCGCTGTTGTCTCAGGAATTTGCTTTTCAATATGTATTTCTATTGTTTAAACTTGTATAAGTTCTTATTTACTACCAGTAACACAAAGTGACTTCATGAAATAATCTTTTGGTGTTATGTATCTTCATTACCTTTTTACTGCCTCTTTGTCAATGATTGGCATTTGTTATGTTGGCTTTTGCAGAAAATTATCTCTAACTGATTTCCTCAAAGGTGTATAAAGTTCTTGTGAGAATTAACAAGGTAGTGCAAGGAACACTGGATTGGGAGTTGGAAGACTTCAAAGTGGGTCCCCAATTATTGTATTTTCTTGGATTTTTCTATTTGTATTTCTCTCTCCCTTTCTGAAAAAAAATGTGTAATGACTCTTAAATCCCAGGGTCTTTTGAAGTATGATAAGTGCCCTCTTACAAATATTTACAGAGAAACTTTAAAACTTTCAGAAGGGTATCTCTTAGGTGACTTTTTCTAGATGATGCCAGTCATCATATCCCTGAGAACATTTAAGCAGCCCAATGATCAGACAGCAAAGAATCCTGACATCCTGCCAACAGCAAACACCAACTTTCAATTATGCTTGTTTGTTTTTGTGGTGACGGGGATTGAACCCAGGGCCATGTGCATGCAAGGCAAGCACTGTACCAACTGAGCTATATCTCTAGCCCAACCAACTTGCAATCATATGATTGTGTCATCTTGGCAGCAGATTCTCCAGCCCCAGTCAATCCTTTAGCCAATGACTTCTACAACCTCATGAGAGACTCTAAGCCAGAATGACTCAGTTAATCCATTCTTCGCTTTTTAATTCACAGAAACTGTGTGAGATAATGAGTATTTATTGCTTTAATTCTCAATGTTATTTGTTATATAACAATTTATAACTGGTATAGTCTTTAGAACCTAGACGCAGAGTGCTGCTATAACAAAAACCTAAAATGTAGAATAAGCTTTAGAACCAGGCAGTGGGCATAAGTTGAGGAGACTCAGAAGAGACAGTTGAGTTTTAAATGATTATCAAAAATCTCATAGCTTTCATGAGAGCTTCAAGGAAAATATAAGAAATATTATTAGACAATGGAGAAAATGGGTCCTTGTCATAGTGGCAGAAGTTTAGCAATAGTGTCACCCATGTAAAGTGAAAAATTAGAAAATGTATCCAACAAATTGAATAATGTTGCTAAAGACATTTCCTGGCAGAATTCTCAATGCTGACCATTTTTGCTGCTCATAGTAAAATGCAAGAGAAAATAAAGCAGTTAAAGTAATGACTTCCAAATAAAGGTGAGTTAGGAATTACTGGTTTTGAAAATCCACAGCCTCTTCAGATGGAAAATGATGCTAAATCAAGTAATAGGTTCCAAATGAAGATCAAATCAGAAAATCATACTACAAAGATAAAACCAAAGGAATGGTTGCAAATTTCTTTGATATATTTCAGAAATAAGCAAGGAAGTGCCTTGGAGAATTGTTAAGTCAATGAGACTTATAAGAACCTTAAGGCATTATCCTCAGTAGCCACAGCAGAATACCAAGATATAAAAGGATAAAAGGATTCATCTCAAAGACATGTGAGTATAGTTGTATAGTAGCAAAAACTCCAATAAGGCTCTTAAAAACCCACAAAGTTTTTCAAAGAATGACACTGGAAAAAGAAAAAACAATGACATTGGCAGAAACATTGCCAAATTGAGTTTAAAGGGGAAATACATTACAAATATATTTTACAAAGGAGAAGCAGGCTTTAGTTCCCAAAACTTTTACAGGCAGGAAGTAGGCTCCAAAAACTACTCAGCTATAAATTTGGCCCACTGTACATGGTGGACAGAGGACAGAACAAAGAGCCACAATGAATCTTTCTTAAGAGCTTGACTCCTAATCAGCAAACTACCAGCATATTCTCTATTGAATTTTAAAAGTTCTGTTTACCAGTGGTTTATTGGTGCTTCCCATTCTATTTTTCCATTTTCCACTTTTTTAAATGGCAGTGACTATCATCCTATACACGTGTACCCTGCCCTTGTATTGTGGGGACATGGAGGATAAATAACTTGTATATTTAGTTCAAAGATTTCACATCAAAATCAACTGAATCTTTACCTGTACCTAATGTATACCTGTATCTAATTAAACAATGAGATCTGAGATTTTTCAATGATGCTGTAATTAATGAATTGGAAGGTAGTGAGTGTATTTTCATGTGGGAGGAAAATGAAATATTAGGGTCCACAGGGTGGACTATGGCAGCCAATCTCTAAGATGGCCCCAACATCTTTGCCCCATAGTATTCATGATCTTGTGTTTACTGCCACATTGAATAGGGCTGACCTACGTAACCAATAAGATGTTGTAGAAATAATGGTGTGTAACTTCTGAAGCTGTACCATGAAAGACACTTATACTAGGGTCACTGGCTCTTAGAATAGCCATAATATGATGAAGATAGATAGTCAAGCAGACTTATAAAGATTGTGTGGTGAGGTACAGAGGACTCCTGCCAGTATTCAGCACCAAATTGCTGGCCATGTGAGTTAGATATTTTGAAAATGAAACTCGACTGCAACCTCATGAGAGATCCAGAACTAGAACTACCTTCTCAAGCTGCATCTGAATTTACAACCCAACAGAAATGGATATTTAAAAAGCATGTTGATTTAAGTCACTAAATATTGGGATGGTTTATTACATGGCAGTAGATTACTAGCACCAGAAAGGTAAATTGTTATAGTGTAATCAAGTAAAGATTACATTTGAGAAGGATGAAATGGTTATTAAATAAATCAAGGACAGTTTGGAGGGGGGCTTAGAAATTGGTTACCTTGAATTATAACCAAGTGGTTATAATTTACTAAATTCACACACATATTTGTTTTTATATGATATACCTCACAATTTTAAAAAAGACTAAAGAAAAGTCTGCAGAAGTAACAATTTCTTCTGTTTTGTTTGCAGTGTAAAATTTTGATGATAGAATAATTATTTTCATGATGATTGCTACATTTTGAACTCCTAGAATTCCCAAGACAGAATTCTGTTTCGAAACGTAATAACAGCCCCAAAAGAAGCCACGATAGGAGGTAACTTGCTGGATGTTGCAAGTTGGTTAAGAGGCAGAACTGATTAGAGCACAGAGTCTGATCATTCTTTATGTTCTTCACATTCTGAGTTCCTGCCTCTGAGCACAATGCATAGTTCCTGTTTTCATATTCACTCCCACCATCAAATAATTGAGATGTTTAGGATCTTGATGTCCTTTTCCCAAAAGCAAGAAATGGGTCTGGGTTGGGATAGGGTTCCAAGTAAGCATTAGCAGAATGAAAACACAATGGGTATGAAGAGTTCCTGGAACACCAAATGTTGCTCTTGCTCTCTAGGGCACTATGATCTGGTCAAGCCCAGTACAGCAGTTCAATATCACCAATTTGGAGACCCTCCCTCAGATGCATCTCGCGATCACTGCAGATATGGGAGAAAACAAGTGGAACTGTCGTGACAGGGATCCTCTGGCTACCTGCGCCATGGCTCAAATCTGTTTTTCCTTGAATGCTTTTCTCACAAAGGATGGGCCATTCCTGATGGTAAGTGAGCCCCACACCTTAAGTGGGTGCACAAAATAAAATTCTTGCTGCTGCTTTGAAGACACTGAGGTCCTATTACTGTCATATCTCGATCTGTCTTCTACCCTAGGAGTTGATCACAAAATACCAACGATTTTTGACCATAAAAACCTGCATTCCATTTTGACTTTTGACCTACCTCATGTATATTTCCCCAGCCATAATTCTATGGGGAAAATAAAGTCCCTGAATTATGTTGTATCTCTGTCTCTTCTTTCAGTGTACATTGTTGTCCATGAACTTGGGCAGGGACAGTGGAGAGTAAGATGTGAATTTTGGCAAACATTGAGAAGAAAACAGTGCCAAAGTGCCTATAAATAACTGTCCTTGGCAAGAGTGTTTGGGGGCTTAGGAAATTTTATTCCATAGTATTATCCCAACAATTTTGGGAGGCAAGCTGATCAGAAGTTTGGATCTCCAATAAATGACTGAAGAAATGGCAGTATATATTGAGTACTTTAGGATATCACATCTTTTTCTGTTGACATGGTGGTGATGCTTTGGTTGCAGGTGGGTGATTCTGATGGTAACATCCACACATTTACAATACCTGAGTTAAGGGATATTTCTGAAGTCCATGCATTTCAACATAGCATTGATATTCTACACTGCTCTCCTGACAAGAAATGGGTCTTTTCATGTGGGATACATCAACATATTTTTTCAAAGGTAGGTGCTGTTCTGTGAACTTCAAGTTTAGGATAGGAGGGTCAAGCATTAGGAAGATCAAGTTGGGAAGTATCTGAGGAACTGCAGGGCCAGCAAGGAATTGGCATAGTGCTCCCTCCTCTCTAAGGAGAATCTGTTCATAAGCAGAATCTGCTCAAATAGTCAGAAAACAATATTTCTTTAAGCAGAATCTGCTCAAATAGTCAGAAAACAATATTTCTTTAAGCAATAGTATCCAGTTGCAGTGACAAATGTTTATTAATGGAAATATGTTCATGAAACCTAAAGGAAAGTGAAAGGGAGATCCAAAAAAAAAGGAGGGGCTGGGATTATGGCTCAGCAGTAGAGCGCTCACCTAGCATGGGCAGGACCCGGGTTCGATCCTCAGCAGCATATAAAAATAAAGGCATTGTGTTGTGTCCATCTACATCTAAAAATAATAATTTTTTTAAAAAGTATCTTTAGTGAGCTTGTTCACTTTTGCTTTCCAAATTTTTATCTACCTTGGTTAGAAAGTAGAGAAGTCCAAGAAGAAATCTATGTATGTCTCTTAGAGTTACCCTAAGGAAGTCTTTGGCCTCTGAGCAGGCCATCTGTAGCATGGCACCTTGACTAGTTTTCCAAGAAGGGAAAATTGATATAACCACCTCATTTTGATCAGGAGTCCAATGTGGCAAGATGATTTTGTAACCCTTCAGCCTTGCATCAAGGACTCCATTCTATCTGTGAACATCCTGGTAAGATAAGAAGACAGTGAGCTCCTCTTTATACTTTGGAGTGGAAGCAGTAATTGTTTAACCTTTCCTAAGAGGCAGAACAGAGCTTTGGGCATAGGAGGAGAACTCTTACAGTGGCTTGTCTGGAGTCCCTCCTATACTGAGATTCTCTACCTTCCCCCTTCACCTGATTTCACTCTCTCCTTAGATTGTTTTCACAGAGTGTTTATTGAGACCATCAGAACATAGCACCCCCCTGTATTTCACTCTCCCATTTGCATCATGCAACAGAGGCTGCTGGACTCCAAGGAGAGAAAACGGGATAACACTGATGTACCAGAGAGGTTCCCACAAAAAAAAAACAGGATTTACCACTTTTGATCTAACAACAGAAAGCCCTGAGGGTTAAAAAGTCATTCCAGGTAGATTATGCAACATTAGAAATACTTGTTTCTATTCCTTATTCCGCATGCACTCCTATTAAGCTACAAATAGACATGAAGAGGTTGGTCTATGTAAAGGGACCAGAGAATTTCCTTAGCTGGGTGTGACCCCGTGCCTATTTGACTCTTATTCATGCTGATCTCTTAAGTTCACCCTGCTCTCTGGGGAAGAAACATTTTGATTTCTATTATGTTTTAGGGCCTGGGTTCCAATGCACATTTCCAGTAAAGGCTTCTTTTCAATGTTTAAGCTATTATGTATTGTCCATAATCTTCTGTTCCTATGTCAGGGTACCTATTATCTTGGTGGCATGGATTTGTCAGGCCACTTCATTGTCCTCGCTGGACTGGAGTTCCATGGAAGTAGGAAGTATTTTTTTTTTTTTTTTACTCAATGCAAGATTATCTGTCTTATTCCTTAAGAATAAAACATTCAGGGTCACTCCAGGTGAATTGGGCTGCACAAAATAACCATACATGAGATAGAGATACCTTTTTCTTTGGGGTCCTGTGACGGTTCCTCTGACCTTAAAGGTCTGCAGAAAGAACACAAGTGAGCACGTGCTGAACCCTTTTATTGAGGAGAAGCCATTCAAATGAGGCAAGGGGTCAAGTTTCAGGGGGGTTGAGTCTAGCTTCATGATGTTTGCTGTCAGCGGATTGATATCTAGGAAGGCCATCCACAAAGGCAGAGCAAAAGAAGGGGACACACAAAGGGCATTTCCATGGAATATTCTATCCCAAACAGGGCAAAGGGGTAAAATCACAAAGGAATAGGTGAGCATAGCTCAATCCACGGGGCAACATGCCTATGTCTGAAGACGCATTCTCAAACTTCCGGGACTGGGGCAACATCCAGGTCACTACAAGATGTAGTGATGGCCAGAGCCTCTCTGCTCAGGGAAGGAGAATGTGAAATCATTCAGACTGGCTGCCCACAGTTATTGTTCTAACTAAACAATTTGCCTATAATATGTATATGTGTGTATGTGTGAGTTATACGAAAACAGCACATCAGATTGCAAGTTTTCTGTTGCCAGTTCATATAGACAGCCCTAATTGGATGGGAGTCAGTGATGGAAGTATTATTGTTGTTGAGAGTGGGCCATACCTGTTCCTCTTCACCATTAATGGCCTCATGCTAGAACGATGTGAGAGCCACCAGAGCATGATCAGCAACATATGGGTGGTACATACGATGCTTCTCTCTCTCTCTCTTTTTTTTTTTCCATGTCAGGGATTGAACCCAGGGCCTCACTCTGTCACTGAGCTGTATCCTAGTCCCTTTCCCTATTTTTTGATCTGAGCTTGACTCATTATCCATTCACTCTCAGGTGTCCTTTGAAGGATTCTCTCCATATCCTTGCAGCATCCATGGATTGTTCTTTACATGTGTACATGTGGGAAGAGGGAGGCTATTACCCATATCTCAAGAAGTGCTGTCACCTGGAATACCTGGGGAACAGTCTGACACCAAGCTGGTAAGCCCTGTTTTGTGACAAACTTTTCTTGTGAATTCTTATTTCTACATAAAAATAAATGAAAGGATAATAGGTTTTTGAAATTCTTTGTAGATAAATATATGAATAAACTTATAATTGGAAACAGAATTGCTGGGGTTATAGCTCAGTGGCAGAGCCCTTGCCTAGCGTGTGTGAGGCAGTGGTTTTGATCCTCAGCACTACATAATAAATAAATAAAATAAAGGTATTGTGTCCATCTATAACTAAAAAAAAAAAATTTAAGAGAGAATTGGTAGTTCTTGGAGTCACGGTACTTGCAATAGACATAAAAAGACTTTCCAAAATGGCACTCAATTTTTATTTCCACAAGCAGTAAGTGGAAGATTGGATACTCAATATCCTATTTTACCTGCAAAATTTGGGCCTTTTATTTTTTTAAGTTTATCAGTCATTTGTGTTGCCTCTTTGTGAGCTGCCTTTACTTCTACTTTGCTATTTTCCTTTTGGAGTGCTTGCCTTCAGCAAAGATGTCTCCTTAAAATTTTACACATTGCCAGGCAAAGTGGTGCATGCCTGTAATCCCAGTGGCTCTGGAGGCTGAGGCAGGAGGATTGTGAGTTCAAAGCCAGCCTCAGCAATGGCAAGGTGCTAAGCAACCCAGTGAGACCCTGTCTCTAAATAAAATACAAAATACGGCTGGGGATGTGGCTCAGTGGTTGAGTGCACCTGAGTTCAATCCTTAGTACCCAAATAAATAAATAAATAAATAGTACTGTCTCAATTTTTTTTATTACTAGTATGTAGAAATACAAGTGTCTTTTATATGTTAACTTCGTCCTGCAAACTTGCTAAACTTATTTATTCTTTATTCTAACAGGTTTTGTTTTTTGTTTATTCTTTGTGGGGGACAGATTTTTGGAGGGGTTTTGTTTGTTTTGTTCTGTTTTTGTGGTACTGGAGATTAAACCTAAGGGTATGCTACCTCTGAGCTAGATCCCTATCCTTTTTATTTTTTATTTTGAGACAGGATCTTGGTAAGATACTGAGGCTGGTCTTGAACTTTTGATCCTCCTGGCTTATCTTCCTTTGTCACTGGGATTACAAGTGTCTGCCACTGTTTCCAACATCTAATATATTTCATTTCTATTTGCAGATAAATTATGGGAGGTTTCTAGGTAGACAATCATATTATATTAATAGAGACTATTTTCTTCCATTCCAACATGTGCATTTACTCCCTAATCCTGCTTTACTGTTTTGGCTATAACCTTCAGCACAATGTTGGAGTAGATAAAAAGTGTTCAGTCTTTCACTATTATTATATTCACCATTTTTTTTGTAGATGCCATTTATGGGATTAAGTTCTCTTGTAGTCCTAGTTTGCTGAGAGTTTTGTCATGAATAAATGTTGAACTTTTCCAAATGCTTTCCTCACATAAATTGTGATAAGCATATGGGTTTTCTTCTTTAGATTATTGGTAGGGTAAATTATATTAATTAACTTCCTTTGTTTTGATCAGGACATAAAACTTTATTTTTAAATCCATGATTCACAAATAATTGTATATATTATGTATGTCTTCATGTATGTATACATTTGTATATAATTAAATCAAACTAATTAACATATTCATCACCTCACATAATTTTTTGAGATGAGAACATTTAAAATCTACTTTTGGAAATTTGCAAAGAATTAATTACTACTAACTGTAGACATCAATAATGCACCAAAGATCTCCAAAATTTATTCCTGTCTAAAACTTTGTACGTTTTGACTACATTTTCCCATTCCCCTTCTACACCCCACACTCAATTGCCATTCTACTCTCTACTTCAATGAGTTCAGTTTTGTTCTAGATTCTATATATAATTGAAATCAAACAGTATTTGTCTTTCTGTATCTGGTTTGTTTCACTTAGCATAAATGTCACATAGTGACATGATGAATCCATGCTGATTCATCTTGGAGTCACAGCACTTGCAATAGACATGAAAAGACATCAAAATAATGACAAACGTCCTTATTTTCCTGAATAGTATTCCATGTATATATATATACCACATTTTCTTCCTTAATCCATTGATGTACACTTAGGTTTATCCCATATTTCGGATATTGTGAAGAATGTCTCAATGAACAAGGGAGTACAGGTATCTCTTAACTTATCTCCATTCCTTTGGATATATACCCAGAAGTAGATTACTATATCATATAGTAAATCTATTTTTAATGTTTTGAGGAACTTCCATACTGTTTTCCACAATAATGTACCAATTTACAGTTTCAACCAACACTTTACAAGTGTTCCCTTTTTTCCACACCTTTGTCAACACTTGTTATCTTTAGTCTTTTTGACAATAGCCATTCTAACAAATGTGAGGTGATACTTGTATTTTAATTTCCATTTCTTTGATGCAAAATATTAAGCATTTTTTCTTATATTTGTTAGCTATTTATGTATGTGTTTTGGGGATAGGTCTATTCAGGTCATTTGTTCCTGTTTTTCATAGGGTGATTTATTTTCTTATTGAGTTATTTCAGCTCTATTATCTATTTGGATATTAGTCACTTATCTGATATATAATTTGCAAATATTTTCTCCCAATTTGTGGTTTTTTCTCTTCACCCTGTTAATTATTTCCTTTGCTATGCAAAAACTTTTCAGTTTGATGCAATACCATTTTTCAATTTTTGCTTTTATTGCCTCTGAGTTTGGAATTTTATCCAAGAAATCTCTGACCAGACCAATGTCATGGAGCTTTCACCCTTTATTTTCTTCTAGTAGAGTTTTACACTTTGGGGTTTTATATAAGGTGTGAGATAGATCTAATTTCATTCTTCGGCATATGGATATCCAGGTTTCCCAATACTAATTATTAAAGAGCCTGTTATTTCCCCATTATGTGTTCTTGGCAACTTTGTCAAAAATGAGGCAGGAGGATTGCGAGTTCAAAGTCAGCCTCAGCAATGGCAAGGCACTTAGCAACTCATTGAAACCCTGTCTCTAAATAAAATACAAAATAGGGCTGCGGATGTGGCTCAGTGGTTGAGTGCCCCTGAGTTCAATTCCTGGTACCCTCGCAAAAAAGATTAACTAACCATAAATGTGTGCTTACTTCTGGGCTCTAAATACTACCTATTTCATTGATTGATGTGTCTTGTTTTTATGCCAATACTATGATCTTTTGATTACCAGATCTCTGTGTAATGTATTTTGAAACAGTATTGTCATATCTCCAGATTTGTTCGTTTTGGTCAAGATGGCTTTGACTACTGAGAAATCCATTGTCATTCAAATCTGTCATTCTATAAAATGTGCTATTCTCTGATTTAAAGTTATTTTCTTTGTCTTTAGTTTTCAGAGACTTGATTATGATGTTTTTAGTGTGAATTTCTTAAGAGTTTAACATGTTTGGGTTTGATCAGCTTTTTGAATCTGTAGATTTACCAGTTTGGGGATTTTTCTTTTGTTTGTTTTGTTTGTGCTGGAGACTGAATCTAGGGACTTGTATATGCAATGTATGAGGTCTAGCACTGAACTGTACCCCAGCTCCTTAGGAAGTTATTACTTGTCTATGCATACTCGAGAGAAAGGGGATACCACTTCTACTTACCATAGTACAAAGGTGGTCAACAAGGCTGTAACCCCATGAGCAGATTGGGATTGCTACTCCTTCAGATGATACTCAGTATAACTTGGCTGGATCTATGCAGTTACTCAATATTTAAGAGTATGATTAAAGAACCAATTGGGATAAATACTTATAGTTTTGTTGGGTTCTAATTTAATATCAACAATGGATATATCTAGTTTCCATTTCACCCACTGATCTTGTTTCTTCTGCCAGCAGCCAGGTCTCCCGGGCAATATGTGATAACATGAGCATAGTACGCGTGGTGTCAAGAGCTCATGAATCCAACATTCTGGTGATAAATATTTTGAATGTGTAACATGGAAACCAATGGAGTTAATTTTGCATCCTCATCCTTCTCCTTGATGTAGTAAAGATAATTCTGTTTGCAAGACCAGAATGATGATTTAAATGCTATTAAGAAATGGTTATATATATAGTGAATTAGACTCATGACAGATGTTATGAACAGGCGCTATACAGATAGAGTGTGGAGCAAAACATCCTTTAGAATGCAAATAAGGTAATAAAATGCAAATAGTCATAGATACACAGTTCCAAACAATTCAAGGGGAATATGTTATGGGGAAGATTTTCAACTGTAAACTTAGATTGACACAGATTCTTTCACTTTTAAATCAGCCTCAATCCATGTTCTTGCCTATAAACAACCACACACACACACACACACACACACACACAAAAAAAACCTTTGTCAAATCTGAGCCAAAAAACAAAGTATTAAAAAGACATAGAGGTTAATATTTAATGACCTACCTGACAGCTGTTCAAAGTAGATATGATGGGCTGGGGCTCAGCAGTAAATAACTTGTCTAGCACGCGTGAGGCATTTGGTTGATCCTCAGCACCACGTAAAAATAAAAGTATTCATCTACAAATTTATTTATTTATTTATTTATTTATTTATTTATTTATTTATTTATTTATTTTGAGACACTGTCTCAAAATAAAGAATTCCTTGTGTGTGTGTGTGTGTGTGTAAAACAAATGTGACCCCACTAAGAATGTCATTTATCATAAAGGCAGATGGTTTGTCTTTTTTAAAAAAAGACATATCAGGCATGGTGGAGTACACAAGTTCAAAGCCAGCCTGGGCAACTTAAGACCCTGTCTCAAAATTTTAAAAAAGGGCTGGGGATGTAGTTCAGTGGTAAAGTACCCCTGGGTTCAATCCCCAGTACTATTTAAAAAATAAAAAGGAACTGTGCTGGATACAGTGTAATTCCAGCAGCTCTGGAGGTTGAGACAGGAAGATCATAAACTAGGGAACTTAGTGAGATCCTGTCTCAAAGTTAAAAAAAAAAAAAAAAAAAAGGGCATGTGGGGGGATCCAAGATGATGGAATAGAAGAGAAACTGTTTCTGGCTGCTCTGTGCATGAATCCAAGGAAGCAGTCAGGCAGCTTCTCCACAAGGTCTCCCTAGACGGAATACAACATCTCAGAGCATGCGACAGGACCCCTAAACAACAGATTTTCACAGAAACAACCAGTGCTGCGACTACCTATGCAGAAAGCAGAGCCTCTGTGTTCCACTAAGATTCCAGACTCCAGACCCAAAGCCCGCAGTTCGAGCATACACACAGCTCTCAAGCGGCGGCGTAGCAGAATCACTAAATCGGCACCTCTGCAGAACTCTAGACTGCGCTCCACTCCGACGCAGGTCACCTGACTGCGTTCTAGCCACAGCACAAGGACATCCCAGCTACCCCCACCTCACCAGACACCCAGGTGCTGGAAGCAGACCAACTCCATTTTAGAAAACCTTTCTCACCATTTTTTGGTGGGCATGGGTGCAGATCTCCAACTGAAGAGGTACCTGGTTTCTAACTCCCCCTCCCCCCATCTGCAAAAACTCGGCACAGTGACTACCCAGCACAAAAATTTCTCTCAGTAGAACAGAAGCGCAGTGCCACCAGGGCGCTGCCCACCTGGTGTGAACCACCAACTGCGAGAGGTCCTGAAGTTGGGACCTGATAAGCAACAGAGAGTCTAAAACCAGGCAGGAGAGGGAAGATGATAGGGGTGTTGGGGGGGGGGGACTCAAGTCTTCTCACCCTGGTTACCTACACCACCCTGAGGGCAGAGATTCAAGCTTAAAATAGACAATTCCACCTACTGGAAGAGAAGCAGGAAATAAACGGAATTCTAAGAGTATTTTTTTCCTTCTTATCCTTTTTCTTTCTCCTCTACCCTTCTATCCTCTGGCACTCACAACCCCAACATATGTGAAACCAAGAACTTTGCATGAAATAGAATATTGAGAACTGAGTCACCAGAATAATATAATATAGAGGAATTGCATAAGCCCCGCCCCTTTTCTTTTTTTCTCTTTCTTTCCTTTTCTTCTTTCAACCTCCAAATTTTACTATTTTTATATCCTGTAATTTTGTAAATACATATGTGTGTTTGTTTTTATGTACTCTACTGTCCTCCCACGTACTTGTCTACCCTAAATTACCTCCTTTCTATTCCCCTGTTACTAACCCTCTTCATTAGAGTTCGCCTCCAAATTTCCTAAGTTATATTAACCCCATACCCTCACATCTTTCCCCCTTAGCATATTGTCCTACCCCCGACTCCCAGTTCACTGTCTGCCACCAGAAATTGTACACCTTTTATGAAACTACTGATTATATTTTAAATAATAATCCAACATTTCTGGACATTGAGACTAACTATAAATGTCTTAATAACAATAATTTGTTCATTGTTGATGTATTGTTGATATTGGAATCTATTAACACTATCCTTCCCCACAAAGGAGGGATCTCAAAGGAACCATACAAGAGCACTACAAATCTATAGGGTAAAAACAATAACACATCAGTCCCACAGAGCTGGAAAGAAAGAAACACGAGCAACATGAAAAGACAAGAGAAGAAAGTACCACAAACAATTCAAGACAACACATCATTAGAAGAATGGACAGCTCCAGCAGAAAAAAAATACAGAGAAAGATTTCAGGATATACATGATTAAAATGTTTTGGGATCTCAAAGAATTCATTGGAGAACAAATACAGGCAGTGAAAGATCACTTTGACAATGAGCTACATAAACAATACAAGAAGCAAAAGATCACCTCAACAGGGAGATAGAAGTTATGCAAAAAAAAAAAAAAAAAAAAAACAGAAATACTTGAAGTGAAAGAAATAATAAACCAAATTAAAAACTCAAACAAGAGCATCACCAACAGAGTAGAACACTTAGAATATAGGACATCAGACAATGAAGATAAAGTATATCATCTTGAAAAGAATGTAGCTAGCACAGCAAAAATAAGAAACCACTAGTAGAACATCCAATAAATATGGGATAGCATAAAGAGACCAAATTTAAGAGTTATTGGGATAGAGGAAGGCATAGAGGTCCAAACCAAAGGAATGAGCAATCTGTTCAATGAAATACTACCAGAAAACTTTCCAGACATGAAGAATGAAACAGAAATCCAAATCCAAGAAGCCTACAGGATGCTGAACGTGCAGAATCACAACAGATCCACACCAAGACACATTATAATGAAAATGCCCAACATACAGAACAAGAAGAGAATTTTAAAAGCCCCAAGAGAAAGAAATCAGATTACATATAAGGGTAAACTAATTAGAATAATGGCAGATTTTTCAACAGAAACCCTGAAAGCTAGAAGATCCTGAAACAACATATTTCAAGCCCTGAAAGATAATAGATGCCAACCAAGAATCTTGTATCCAGCAAAATTAAGCTTCAGATTTGAAGATGAAATAAAAACCTTCCACAATAAACAAAAGTTAAAAGAATTTACAGCTAGAAAACTGGCACTACAAAACATCCTTGGCAAAATATTTCATGAAGAGGAACTGAAAAACAACAATGAAAACCAGCAGAGGAAGGTAGTACACTAAAGGAAAAACTAATAAAAGAGGAAAACCAAGTCAAGTTAAATAACAAATATGGCTGGAAATACAAACCATATCTCAATAGTATCCTTAAATGTTAATGGCTTAAACTCACCAATCAAAAGACAGGCTAGCAGATTGGATTTTAAAAAATATCCAACAATATGCTGCCTACTAGAGACTCATTTGATGGGAAAAGATATACACAGACTGAAGGTGAAAGGCTGGGAAAAATCATACCACTCAAATGGACTGCGGAAGCAAGCAGGGGTTTCCATACTCATATCAAATAGAGTAGACTTCAAGCCAAAGTTAATCAAAAGGGATAAAGATGGACATTATATACTGTTCAAGTGAACCATACACCAACAAGACATAACAATCATAAATATATATGCTGCAAACAATGGTGCAGCTATGTTCATCAAGCAAACTCTTCTCAAGTTCAAGAGTCAAACTGACCACAACACAATAATCTTGGGGGACTTTAACACACCTCTCTCACCACTGGATAGATCCTCCAAACAAAAATTGAATAAAGAAACTATAGAGCTCAATAACACAATTAATAACTTAGACTTAACTGACAGATATAGAATATTTCAACCGGCATCAAGCGGATACACTTTCTTCTCAGCAGCACATGGATCCTTCTCTAAAATAGACCATATACTATGCCACAAAGCAACTCTTAGCAAATACAAAAAAGTAGAGATACTACCATGCATTTTATCAGATCATAATGTAAAGAACTTGGAAATAAACGACAAAATAAAAAATAAAAATTTCTGCATCACACGGAGACTGAACAATATGCTACTGAATGAACAATGGGTTATAGAAGACATCAAGGAGGAGACTGAGGGCTGGGGATGTGGCTCAAGTGGTAGCGCGCTCGCCTGGCATGTGTGCAGCCCGGGTTCGATCCTCAACACCACATACAAACAATGATGTTGTGTCCAACAAAAACTGAAAAATAAATATTAAAATTCTCTCTCTCTTCTCTTCTCTCTCTCTCTCTCAAAAAAAAAAAAGGAGACTGAAAAATTCTTAGAGGTAAATGAGAACACAGACTCAACATATCAAAATCTCTGGGACACCATGAAAGCAGTACTAAGAGAAAAATTCATTGCATGGAGTTCATTCCTCAAAAGAAGAAAAAAATCAACAAATAAATGACCTCACACTACATCTGAAAACCCTAGAAAAAGAACAAATCAGCAACAAAAGCAGTAGCAGGCAAGAAATAATTAAAATTAGAGCTGAAATCAATGAAATCGAAACAAAAAGAAACAACTGAAAAAATTGACAAAACTAAAAGTTGGTTCTTTGAAAAATAAATAAAATTGACAGACCCTTAGCCACGCTAATGAAAAGAAGAAGAGAGAGAATTCAAATTACCAGCATATGTGATGAAAAAGGCAATATAACAACAGACACTACAGAAATACAGAAGATAGTTAGAATTTATTTTGAAACCTTATAGTCCAATAAATAGACACTGAAGGCATCAATAAATTCAT